GGAAACTGGTCTTTATGTGCTGACACACCCAACTGTCTCAGACTCTCAGCTAGTTGACACGACCGACTGAATATGTTTGCAGTTATGGTTCACAGACGATTAGAATCAAGAAACCAAAACATCAAGAGAGCGAGAGAGAAAGAAAAAGAAAGTTAGGAGAGAGAAAAAGTAATACAGAGCGACAGAGGGAAAGAGAGAGAGAGAGAGAGAGAGAGAGAGAGGAGGAGAGAGAGAGAGAGAGAGAGAGAGAGAGAGAGAGAGAGAGAGAGAGAGAGAGAGAGAGGAGAGAGAGAGAGAGAGAGAGAGAGAGAGAGAGAGAGAGAGAGAGAGAGAGAAGAGAGCTAATGCAAGATATTCATTTCCTTTTATATCATTTTCGTCAAATAACGTTCTATAACCTCATACTTCCTCGTCAACTCCTCTCTCCCTCTCCCGTGTCCTCTCCCGTGCCGCGCCCATTGAGCCGTGTCTCGTCTCTCTGGTCCCGTCAGTCACGTACCGCCAATGTTTTGTCGGCAGCGGGCCGTCCGCCGTCGACTGGCCGAGCAGACATCGACGCGTCCACGTCCGTGTCCGCGCCGCCCGTCCAGTTTGTTTGCTGTCACTGTGTTCACAGCGGCCGCCCGGTTTATGGACATTTTAACAAGTAATTGCTAGCGTAACTACGTGCCATTCAGAGTCGTAAAGCGGACGCCGGTGGCTCGGCTGGCGAGGCTCGGTCTCGTGCCGGCAAACAACCGGCTGGGATGGGCTGCGCTGGGAGCGATGGCTCCAAGGTGAGCATCGTGACTGGACGGGCTAGGTGGCGAATAAAACAGCAGGAGGAATTACTGGCGGGCTGCATTAACGTGAGTAACGATAACGATGTGCGACGGTCATTCAGCATTCGTCCGGATGTCATAATCACCAGGCATAGGCATTTTTATTAACAACGTTAAGAAGAAGAACGGCTTTGGTTTTCAACAGCCTAGACAAGCAAGCACAAAAAAATGATTAAAAATATCCCAAACCATTACATTGTTTCGTTGTGAAAATGGACATCTTTTTTTCGCGTTGCCAGTGCGATCTCTTATGCAGAGATGTCATTGCTCTATAAGGCTGTAGGTACAGCCCACCGCTAAAGTAATGTAGGGTTTTACCAATCTCAACGGTTGGCTTTGACTGGCGATTGTTTAATGCGGAGTGATCGAAAAGAAGATGTAAATAGCTAAAGCTGCAGCTGCAAGGGTGACGATACATATAAGCTACATTCAAAGTTTCATTGTAGTCTGGCTAATCGTTCCTAAGCTTCATAAGCAGAACATACCCATGACTGAAACCCCACATTACTTCTGCTGTGGACTGTATATATGTTACAGGGAGTATGAGAAATCAGTTAGTTTGCAAACTACCTAGGGAGTTTGCAAACTCCCTGAACGATCAGGTAGTTTGCAAACTCCCTAGGTAGTTTGCAAAGTACCTGGTCGAACAGGTAGTTTGCAAACTCCCTAGGTAGTTTGCAAAGTCCCTAGTTAGTTTGCAAGCTCCCTAGGGTTGTTGCAAACTACCTAGGTAAAATGCGAAAACGACGAAACAACAGCCATATACGAGTACATACATGATATGTAGATAAGACGTGATGAATTGGTTCAGAGCTCAGAATGAAACTTGACAGCAATGGTGCATAACGAGACGATGTGGTGTTTTGATGACGCTGTTTCGCAGCTTACTATTTATTTTTGTCTTGCTCGTAAATATCACCCTACAGATTAATGTCTGCCTTTTTTCTTGTAGTCGACAACATGTTACGTTGCCATCCACCTCCTTTCCTTGGACGTCAGCGGCCTCTCCTCCACCGGTCTGGCGTCCATCTAAAAGCGGATGACGTCGCCATGTTCGGCGTCTTCCACGACTCGAGAGTTATTGCCGCTCAACGCTTCCTCCCACTCCCGGAACCTCTGATCGAACAGTTCGTGAGACATCCCCACAGAACCACAGAGCAACCACAGAACAGAAATTGCTTTCACTATGCTGTCTCTCCACACTCCGCTCAGCACTGATGACCCGCCTGCACTGAGCACCGTCCACCAGCCGTGACCCGACAGCGCCTTTCATCCGTATCCCGCAGGCACACACTGACCTGACCTGTCAAGCTCAGGGCAGTCGACTGCTGGCTACCAGGATCGGGTGGAAGCGGGGCGTTGGGTTGACTAAAGATGACATCCTGATTAGTCTAACCCGCGCCCCGTAGGGTGGGGGGGGGGGGGGGCGGAGCCGAAACGGCCCTCCTGTCCTTTTCCGTCATTATCTCCTAAACGGCTGCAGCTATCGCCACCAAACTTTCAAGACTTCTCCGGGCATCGATCAAAATTTTCCAGAGTCTATGATAGGTTGTCCACAAATGACGTCAGAATGGCGTGATGTTCTGCCATTTTCGACCGGAGTTTCGCGAGAAGAGCTGTCAGACGTACAGCTTTGAAGATACAGATAAAATGATCAAGACATAAAAGGTGTGAAATCGACGGGGCTACAAAACTGCTATCTCGGGTTTTTGAAATTGTTGATTTTTTACCCCCAAAAATGAAAAATGAAATTGGATATATTACCCAAAAATTCAAAAAGTTTTTTGAGTTTCGAAAAAAACGGAAAATATATGATAGTAGGTACCTACCGTCTTCTATCTACATACCAAATTTCAGATGGATATCTCTTTTTTTTTATCAAGTTATAGTTAAACAACTGTTCAAAAATGATGACGTAAAATTTTCAAACTCAATTTCAAACTCAATACTTTGCTATCTGGGGTCACTGATACCAGGTCAGGTCACAGAGCAGAGGTCAGGTCACTGGGGGTCACAATATGAAAGTGTCGTGTGATGCATGTTTTATGGTCCATTTTACAAGACAAATGCGATTATGTGGGTCAGGCAGCCTTTGGGGCAGGCTTAGGTTACGTTCTGGTGAAGGTCAGGTCAAGGTTAGGTCAAATTAGGTCAAATTTCAAAGTTGATATTTTTGCATAAAATTCGATGCAGCTCGTCACGGTCAGTCTAATGGTGGTCTTTGTTTTGCCCTATGTGGTCTAGAATTGCCAACAATTGAGTTCGACAATTTTACTCCATCATATTTGAACAGTGTTTTCGCAATAACTTGGCCAAAAAAAGAGATATCCATCTGAAATTCGGTATGTAGATAGAATATGGTAGGGAATATCATATATTTCCGTTTTTTTTTCGAAACTCAATTTTTTTTTGATTTTTTTGGGAAAGATATCCAATTTCATTTTTCATTTTTGGGGGTCAAAAATAAAAAAAAAATCAAAAATCCGAGATGGCAGTTTTGTAGCACTGTTGATTTCACACCTTTTATGTCTTGATCATTTTTCTGTATCTTCAAAGCTGTAGGTCTGACAGCTCTTCTCGCGAAGCACTTTTTTCGGTCGAAAATGGCAGAACATTACGTAATTCTGACGTCATTTATGGCCAACCTATCATAGCCTCTGGCAAAATTTTGGTCACAATGTGTAAAATTGATGCCCGGAGAAGTCCTGAAAGTTTGGTGGCGATAGCTGCAGCCGTTTAGGAGATATTGACGGAAAAGGACAGGGGGCCGTTTCGGCCCCGCCCACCCCCCCCCCCCCCACCCTACGGGGCGCGGGTTAGACTAATCAGGATGTCATCTTTAGTCAACCCAACGCCCCGCTTCCATCCGATCCTGGTAGCCAGCAGTCGATTGCCCTGAGCTTGACAGGTCAGGTCAGTGTGTGCCTGCGGGATACGGATGAAAGGCGCTGTCGGGTCACGGCTGGTGGACGGTGCTCAGTGCAGGCGGGTCATCAGTGCTGAGCGGAGTGTAAAGAGGCAGCAAGTTTCTGTTCTGTGGTTGCTCTGTGGTTCTGTGGGGATGTCTCACGAACTGTTCGATCAGAGGTTCCGGGAGTGGGAGGAAGCGCTGAGCGGCGAGAACTCTCGAGTCGTGGAAGACGCCGAACATGGCGACGTCATCCGCTTTCTGATGGACGCCAGACCGGTGGAGGAGAGGCCGCTGACGTCCAAGGAAAGGAGGTGGATGGCAACGTAACATGTTGTCGACTACAGGAAAAAAGGCAGACATTAATCTGTAAGGTGATATATGCGAGCAAGACAAAAAATAAATAGTAAGCTGCGAAAGAACGTCATCAAAACACCACATCGTCTCGTTATTCACCATTGCTGCCAAGCTTCATTCTGAGCTCTGAACCAATTCAACGCGTCTTATCTACATATCATGTATGTACTCGTATATGGCTGTTGTTTCTCCGTTTTCGCATTTTACCTAGGTAGTTTGCAACAACCCTAGGGAGTTTGCAAACTAGCTAGGGACTTTGCAAACTACCTAGGGAGTTTGCAAACTACCTGTTCGACCAGGTACTTTGCAAACTACCTAGGGAGTTTGCAAACTACCTGATCGTTCAGGGAGTTTGCAAAGTCCCTAGGTAGTTTGCAAACTAACTGATTTCTCATACTCCCTGTAACATATACATACCACTTGCACTTTGGCGTGATATGTGCATAGAATAAATTAAGATGTTTTCCGTCCGTTTCATTCGTCACATGATTTTCGCGTTCCATATTTCGATATATGCTGGGGCTGAAAATCAGGACAATATTTAAAGCGTAAGGCCTGTGTATTACAAATGTGCATTTCTAATTACCGGTGCTGAAATTAGCACCAACAATCAAAATTTTCATCAGTTGATCCGAAGCTCAATGTAGATCAGTGAACGCTGATGGGATATAACCAATTGCTATAGCCCGTGCGTCGACACTAGCTTCAACACATCCTGTTTTCTTCTTTGACCCTTGACCAGTCTTCTCACCACTGCACTAATCTGCACATTGGCACAAGTCATGCATGACATACCCCAACCGCTAACCCACTCCTGGCCCGTCCACTGACCTGAGCGCCTGCCTCAGTGACCCATCCACTGATCTGTACGCATGCCTCTGTGACCTACCCTGACCCCTGACCCGCCCACTGACCTGAACGCGCGCCTCTGTTAGACCGGTGCGTGAAGCGATCTCTTCCCTCAGGAACACATCTGGGTAGTGTGTGCGCGCGAAGTGGCTCTCCAGGGCGGACAGCTGCGCCGGCGTGAACCGCGTGCGGTGCCGCTTCTGCTTCTGGCCGGAGGTCGGCGCCTGACCCTCGGTCAAGGTCACACGTGACTCGAGCGTCGAGCCGAGGTCATTCAGGGAGTTGAGGCCACCTGGGGAGACGGTGCAGTGGAGGTGAGCCATCGCGACGGTAGGCGACGTGTCAGTTTTATCGCTATATCAACTAGATCCATCTCCCGGATCTGTGCACGATGCATGTGCTCAGAAAATGTACAAATACAATTCAGAAGATCAAACATCTGCAGCCGATTTGGCCGTCTCCAAAAATATGCAGCTCGTTCGCAAACAATCAAATGCACTCATGAGTCATGCACCATTTTGTCCAGACTTGTGACCAGCGTAACATATATAACTCTATGTATCTATAGAGCATAGGCGTAGGAACAGGGGGAGGGGCCGGGGGGCCATGCCCCCACTTTTCAGTCATTTTTAAGCGAGGATGAAAGGAGCACAAAACTGCAAAGAATTTCTTCATAGGGGTACTGTGGCTCCCACAAAGTGACATTAAAGTTTCGCTGCCCCCCCCCCCCCACACACACACTTTTCGTGAGGTTCCTACACCCATGTATAGAGTATGGTATGTATGCATGAGTCTATAGTATGGTATAGTCCATGTATGTATAGAGTCTGTAGTATAGAGTATGGGATGGCACTCAATTAATAGCAAACGGTCAATTATAGAGCCAGTAGCATGCACATTGAACATTGTAACTCAATGCCAGGGTATTGGCCGGTCCAGAAAGGCTGCCTTTGACGCTGCTGGAGGCACACTCCCCGCTAAAAGTTGCCCACATGAGGCGTGCCACCTCTCCCCCAGAAATATTTTATACTGCTTGTAATATTTTGGAGACAGAAATCTGCTTTTCCGTGCAGTTCACTGACATAATGTAAATTAATTGGCACCTTTATTGCTTTTTGCAAGTGTTACCTCCAAATCATAAAAATTAGGCCTGTTTCGGAATGTGCGGAAGGGGTAAATGTAAAAACAACCTCCCCTCCATAAAAATCGCCAGTCATGACTGCGGCCACATTACTACGGAGCGAGCGAAGCGAGCGTAGTCTTTCCTTAGACCAGTATAGCGCCTTTTGGGGCGACTAACGGAGCGAGCGAGAGGGTGGACCTTGCACGTGCGAAATTTCGAGGGGGTACCTCCAACTGACTTGTGCACGGCACCTTACTAGCCGGTCTCTAGCGCTGTGCCAAATTTGAGCACAATCGGCCCAGCCGTTCTCGAGATCTGGAAGCGGCACCCTGCACGTGCGCACGTGCAAAATGGGTCCCAACTGACTTGTGCACGGCACCCTACTAACTGGTCCCTAACCGTGTACCAAATTTGAGCGCCATCGGTCCAGCCGTTCTCGAGATCTGGAAACGACCCCTGCACGTGCGCACGTGCAGCAGCACCCCAACTCTGGCACATGGATATGCAGTGCCTAGTGGGTGCCTACCTACATGCCAACTTTCAGCGCAATCGGCCAAGTAGTTACCGAGATATTGCAACAATTACAAAACTGACACCTCTTCGTTTTGCACGTGGCACGTGCATAAGGGGTCACCCACATGCATCGGAAATAGTCCAATACTTGGTAGAAGGAATGAAGCTACCCTACAAAAATTACCGCGTGTAAATCGGTCAAGTGGTTGCTGAGATATAAGCCTCGCAAAAGCGTCCGCACGGCCGGCCGGCCGGCCGGCCGGCCGCTCATACTCAGAAATTTCCGTTAATCTAAGGAAAGACTCCGCTCGCTTCGCTCGCTCCGTAATTAACGGAAATTTCTGAGTATGAGCGGCCGGCCGGCCGTGCGGACGCTTTTGCGAGGCTTATATCTCAGCAACCACTTGACCGATTTACACGCGGTAATTTTTGTAGGGTAGCTTCATTCCTTCTACCAAGTATTGGACTATTCCCGATGCATGTGGGTGACCCCTTATGCACGTGCCACGTGCAAAACGAAGAGGTGTCAGTTTTGTAATTGTTGCATGTGTCAGAAGTGGTATGATTATTGAAGTGCGTGAAATTATTCCACGCGGAAATAATTGTACGTGCAAATTTGTTTGGATAATTTTGGGAATAAATGAGACTTTTGGGCGCTACTGGTGTTCGGTTGTATAAATTCTATTACAAGCTATTTCGGCCTTATCTCGTTCTTATTAGGTATTGTATAAAATAAGGGAAAATTCGCCAGGGAAGACAAAGGAAGTTAAAAATGGCGAAGAGGCGAGGCACGACAACGAACCAACGATCCATTCGATTTTGTCCAGTTTGGACACCGGTGCTGGAGTCCGGTGATGGTAACCGGCGATGGAGCCCGGTGATGGAGACCGGTGATGGAGCCCGGTGGTGGAGCCCGGTGATGGAGCCCGGTGCTGGAGACCGCGGTTATGGAGCCCGGTGATGGTGACTGGTCGTGGAGCCCGGTGCTGGAGACCGGTGCTGGAAGAGCCCGGTGATGGAGCCCGGTGCTGGAGACCGGTAATGAAGACCGGTAATGAAGACCGGTGCTGGAGACCGGCGATGGTGCCCAGTGATGGTGCCCGGGTGGTGAGCGGCGAGTGCTCCGGTTTGTTGACCGATTAAGGTGCACGGTTTGGTTACCAATTATGGTGCCCGGTTTTGTGACCGACGATGGTGCCTGGCTTGGCCGCGGTTTTATGACCGAAGATAACGTTTTTGATATTTTGTGTGTGTGCGTTTTAGTGATCTTGAAGATCAGAGGGGCGTGTGTCAGAAGTGGTATGATTATTGAAGTGCGTGAAATTATTCCACGCGGAAATAATTGTACGTGCAAATTTGTTTGGAGAATTTGGGAATAAATGAGACTTTTGGGCGCTACTGGTGTTCGGTTGTATAAATTCTATTACATATCACGGTATATCACGGTCACGGTATATCACGGTAACTACTGGGCCGATTGCGCTGAAAGCTGGCATGTAGGTAGGCACCCACTAGGCACTGCATATCCATGTGCCAGAGATGGGGTGCTGCTGCACGTGCGCACGTGCAGGGGTCGTTTCCAGATCTCGAGAACGGCTGGACCGATGGCGCTCAAATTTGGTACACGGTTAGGGACCAGTTAGTAGGGTGCCGTGCACAAGTCAGTTGGGACCCATTTTGCACGTGCGCACGTGCAGGGTGCCGCTCCCAGATCTCGAGAACGGCTGGGCCGATTGTGCTCAAATTTGGCACATCGCTAGAAACCGGTCAGTAGGGTACCGTGCACAAGTCAGTTGGAGGTACCCCCTCGAAATTTCGCACGTGCAAGACTCACCCCCTCGCTCGCTCCGTTAGTCGCCCCAAAAGGCGCTATACTGGTTGAATACCTACCTATGTTTTGATAATTTATTAAGAGCAAGACCAGGGTCGAAATCAATTAAAGGTAAACTTCAAGTCATTTTTCCAGTCATCTTTTGGAAATATCAACCGATGCGGACTACAAAACTCATAGTCAGATATATTTTTTTATTGACATATTCTTGCATATAATATAAGCAGACCGAACCCTGCTTGTACGCATCTTCCGGTAACCCACAACACAAATCACAACACGGACACCGCTGACGTCAAGTCATTAACTTAAGTCAGATATAGTTTTTTATTTGTCTAAGTGTCTAAATTATAGTCAGATATAATTTAGACACTTAGACAAATAAATAATTGGCATAACAGCACACGCATAGACACACAGACACCGTACTGATGAATGAAGCATACGAGTGTGTACATACGTCCCAACATTATCGACTGAGTTTAGAGGAATGTTTTGAGCTGTGTTGTTTGAATTGAACATTATATCACGATTAGACAATGACCTACAAGTCATTTTTAGCCACATGAAACCGTGATCTAGGATGACCTGTGCTGACCTGTCATGCGCTTTGGTATCAGTAAGGGGAAATATCCCGTTTACAATTTACATTGTCTATGTCTAGCTTGTAAAACCAACATGAGGGCATGCAAAAAAACGAGCTACTTCTTATTACATTAGCGTTTGGATTTTGATAGAGCACCATTACCCTTGACCTGACTTTAACTATAATGACCTAAGATTAAAAAAAGATGAATAGTGGCCGTTTTCACGACGGAATAGCAGGCATCTATTTAATCCCCATTTGATCCTTTGGTTCCTCAGGAATTTTAGTAGTTCTTTTTAGTAGGTTCCCCAGCTTTCGAATGAATGGTGCGTTAGTTTGCTATTTTTCTATTAAATATCACATCGATTTACTTTATCTAAGGATTTATCACTAATATCAACATAAAGCGTAAGCACAATTATAAAATTATGAAATTATTAAATACTAGTACAATAGTTAAAAAAAAGATACTGAGTTGCCAGGCTACAAAGAATATATTCATTTATGGCGCACGACAGACATTTAGAAAGCAGCGCCCTGTTTTATTGCACGCTAGCCGCTTCCATTGGGTTTTGCAGGCCGACGTCATTGGTCGTTACACGTATGATGTCACGCGACTTGTGGCCTGTCACGGCTCTTTAATGATCTCCACTAAATGAATGCAACAATGGCCTTTTAAGTTGATCTCTGTGGCCATCTGTCTATGGAGCGACCAATATGAAAGTTGGGTGAATTTACCCCGGGGTTACATGACTATGAGCAAGCAAATGTGTATCAGGAATGGATTTAGGTGGAGAATTGCGCTGGACCATGAGTGCTCGAACGCTCCCAATTCCACGCCGGTTTGGCTTTGGAGCCGAGACAGACGATGCGGGTCAAGGTCACCGCTGGGGTAACGGTGGATTGGCTGCGCCCGAGCACCCGTAACGCGGCACAATTCTCCATCTATGGATTTTCCTATTCGCTCAGCATTGTGATAGGCGTTCGTAATAGCATTTACTCTGCTCATGTACCTATCCCCGGTTATTTAAAAGAAGTTTTTGTGGGGGAATATCACGGCTTTAGGTACTCGGTGGCCCTATTCACGACTTTCAAAGAATGCTCCGATAACTAAACACCGCACAGACCTACTGCATTAGTGAATCTGACAGAAGGTCTGTGGAATTACATCCCCCCTCACCACACCCCTAAAAACTCATCCAGTGTCCAAAACCACTTTTATCGACTCGCCAAAAAAAA